GCTCAGCTGGTTAGAGCATCCTGATATGCCAAGGTGGTGGGTTCAATTCCAGTCCGGCAGTCAGCCAATGAACACACATAAGTGGAACAACAAATCAATGTTTCTTTCTCTCTAAAAACAATCAATAAAAACTTTTGAGTAAGAAGAAAAATGGATAGAAGCAAGAAACTGCAACTCTACTTTAGAATATAGTATTAAACAAATATGACATAAAGGTTAAGGGGGGAAATGTATTTAAAAAAGAGAATAAAACTTTGAACTTCCATAAAAATGCAGCTGTGGGGGGAAACCCAGATGGCAGCCTAGGTAAGCGCCTAAACTGCTGGGTCACACAACAATCTCAAAACAACAACTAAAAGACAGTATGGACATCATCCCAAGCCACGGGAAAGCTGGCTGAGTGGGAAATCTACAGCCAGAAAGGAGGAGAGAGGCTCACGGATCAGGGGAGCGGCAAAGCGCTGAGGTAGGGAGACACAGCTCAGAGAGGAAGGCCGGCCCAGCGCCTGCCTGGCGGGAGGGGAAAGGAAGCTCCCGACTGCACTGAACCCCAGCCCCAGGTGAAATCCCGCGGACCCAGGCTCCTATGGGTGGAGTCTGGACTGTAGAGAAAGGCACCCGAGACTCGGAGACTGAGAGACTCGGGGGAGCCGGGAGCCACGGCGGGCAGGGTCTAGAGACGAGCACACACACGTGTGCGCATGAGTGCGTGCATGCAGAGAGGTCTGACCGCGGAGGTAGCCACAGCCTCTCCATAGCGGAAGGTCACTGAAGCCCAGTTCCGAATGCACTGAGCACTGAAACCCAGTTCCAGGCGAGCCCCTGGAGCACCCACGCTCTTACAAGGGGAATCTGGACTGTCAGGAGGAAACTCGGGGGACCTGTGGAAGGCAGAGGTCTGAGGCGCGTGCACAAGCGCAGGGCTGACAGGAAGCCAAGACTGGCGGCTCAGCCCTGAGACTCCACCCCATCCAAGCTGAGCACAGAGGCTTTTGCAATTTTGCAAGTTTGATCCTATAAGACTGTCCCCAATACAGAAGGTATCCTGGTGTAGACACAGCTGATACTCACATCCAATTGTCCTGGAGGTCAATTCCTCCCAGGGATACCAACAACAATCAAGTCTTAGCTACAACAAGGCTGTACACGCAGTTCACAAAGGGGAGCACCAAGAGTGTCCACCTCAGGTAACTGGGAGACTGACCCACTGAGCCATATAGGACACCAAACACACAAAGCCACCCTACAACTCAGGGAAGCAGCAAAAATGGGGAGACAAGGAAACAAATCTCAAACGAAAGAAATGGAGGAGAACAAAAGACTGGATATAGAGTTCAAAACCACGGTTATAAGGTTTTTCAAGTATTTCCTAGAAAAGGCCAATAAATTTAACAAGACCCTCAAGAATATGAAAAAGGACCAACTAGAAATTAAACATACACTGACTGAAATAAAAAATATTATACAGAGACCCAACAGCAGACTAGAAGAATGCAAGAGTCAAGTCAAAGATTTGGAATATAAAGAGGCAAAGAACACTCCTCTGGAGAAGCAAGAAGACGAGAATCCATAAAGTTGAAGATAGTGTAAGAAGCCTCTGGGACAACTTCAAGCTTACCAACATCAGAATTATGGGGGTGCCAGAAGAAGAGAGCGAGCAAGATACTGAAAACCTATTTGAAGAAATAATGTCAGAAAACTTCCCCTACCTGGTGAAAGAAATAGACTTACAAGTCCAGGAAGCACACAGAACCGCAAACAAAAGGAATCCAAAGAGGACCACACCAAAGACACATCATAATTAAAATGCCAAGGGCAAAAGACAAAGAGAAAATCTTACAAGCAGCAAGAAAAAAACAGTTAATTACCTATAAGGGAGCACCCATATGATTGTTAGCTGATTTCTCAACAGAAACTATGCAGGTGAGACGGGAGTGGAAAGAAATATTCAAAGTGATGAACAGCAAGAACCTACAACCAAGATTACTCTACCCAGCAAAGTTATCATTCAGAATTGAAAGGCAGATAAAGAGCTTCACAGATAAGAAAAAGCTAAAGGAATTCATCACCACCAAACCAGTATTATATGAAATGCTGAAAAGTATTCTTTAAGAAGAGGAAGAAGAAAAAGGTAAAGATAAAAATTATGATCAACAAATACATATATATCAACAAGTGAACCTAAAAATGAAGTGAATTAAAAATCTGAGGAGCCAGAGAGGAGAGAGCCCATTTCCAGGGTGTGTCACCTGAGAACCTCAGCTGCCAAGTCACCTCAGCTCAGCAGCTCCTGTGTTGAGCATCTGCCCCCTGGTGATCATTGCATGTCATAGCTATCAGTCAAAAAGTCAAATAGTCAGATGGTCGCTTAGACTTTTATATATATACTACGAAAGGTTATATGCCACCAAATTCAATAACCTAGAAGAAATGGACAAATTCTTTAAAATATATAGCCACCCTAGACAGAATCACGAGGTACTGGAAAACCTAAATAGACCAATCATTGGTAACAAAATTGAAACACTAAAAAAAACACACACACAACACCTCCCCAAAAAACAAAAGCCCAGGACCAAATGGCTTTTCTACCCTAACACTCAGCAAATATTTAATATCCTCCTCTAATTCTTCAAAAAAAAAAAAATTGAAGAGGAGAAACTTCCTAACTCATTTTATGAGGCCAATGTAACCCTGATACCAAAACCAGGCAAGGACAACACACACACAAAAAAAAACTACAGGCCAATATCTCTGATGAGCATAGATGTAAAAATCCTAACTAAATCCTAGCAAATCAAACAAAACATTAAAAAGATCATATACATTATGATCAAGGATGGTTCAACACATACAAATCAATCAATGCAGTAACACACTAAATTTACAAAATAAGTCATATTAATAAATGTAGACAAAGCATTTGACAAGCTCCAACATCCATTAATGATTAAAACACTTAATAAAATGGGTACAGAAGTACCTCACATAATAAAGACCAGTTCTGACAAACCCTCAGCCAATATCATACTCAATGATGGAAACTGAGAAAAGACAGCTTTTCTTCTAAGATAAGGAACAAGGAAAAGATGTCTCACCATTGTTATTCAACATGGTATTGGAAATCTTAGCCAATGCAAATAAGCAAGAAAAATAAAAGGCATCCAAACTGGGAAGTAAAACTATCCTTATTTGTAGATGGCATAATACTATATAGAAAACCTTAAAGATATCACCATAAGATTATTGGGGGGAAAAATAGTCAAGTTGCAAGATAACAAATCGATACATATGTGAACATCTGATTTATGACAGAGGGCATTACAGAGAGGAGATGTGCTTCTTAATATGTAGGATTTGAACACTTGGTTATCCATTTGGGGGAAAATAAAGGGAATTGAATAGTGCATACACTTATCACTTTCTGGTGGGTTAGACATTTAAATGTGTGTGTATGTGGGCATGTAGATAATGTAGAAAAATATTTTTATGACAACAGGGTAGAAAAGGATTTATCAAGACACAAAATACCAACCATTGAAGAAAATATTTGATTAAGTCCAATTGCAGAAAAATTAAGAATGACTATTTATCAAAAGACATAAGTAGAATGATAAACTACAACACACAGAGAACTTTTTGCAACATATTTATTCTACAAATGATTAGAACCCAGGGCACATAAAGAACTCACACGAATAAATAAGAAAAATACAAACTCAATGGAAATAGGGCAAAAGAGACCAGCTGCTGTGGCTCAGTGGCTGAGCTCTGACCCAGGACCAAGCGATCACTGGTTTGATTCCCGGTCAGGGCACATGACCAGGTTGCTGGTTTGGTACAGGAGGCAGCCTATCAGTGCTGTTTCTCTATCATTGATGTTTCTATCATACTACACCTCTCCCCTCTCTAAAAAATTAATAAAATCATAATAAAAAATTTTTAAAAGGCAAAAGATATAACAGGCATTTCCCAGAAGAGAAAATATGAATTACCTAGCAATACGTAAAAAGACACTCAATCTCATTAGTAAACAGTAAAATGCAAATTGAGGAAAAAAGAACCTTGACCAGAAGGTCATATCTTATACAAAAATTAATTCCAAATGGATCACAGACTTAAATGTAAAACAAATCTATAAAGTTTAGAAAACATAGGAGATAATCTTCAGCATCTAGCAGGAGGCAGATTCTGAGCCATGTCATCAAAAGCATAATCAATAAGAGGGAAAAAATCTGTAAATGGGACTTTATCAAAAGTAAAAATGTTTGCTCTGTAAAATGTCCTGTTCAGAGGATGAAAAAAAAAGCTATTTGTAAACCAAAACCCTAAAAAAGGATTAGTATTTAGAATATATATTAAGAACTCTGAACACTTAACAGCAGCCTGGCCAGTGTCGCTCAGTGGTTGGGCACCAACCTATTAATAAGGAGGTCACAGTTCAACTTCCAGTCAGGGCGCACAGGAGGCAGCCAATCAATGATTCTCTCGCATCACTGATGTTTCTATCTCCCTCTCCTTCTCCCTTCCTCTCTGAAATAAATGAAGATATATTTTAAAAAACAAAACTCATAGGGGGGAGGGGCGGGAATGGGGGAATAAGGACACATATGTAACACCTTAATCAATAAAGAAATTAAAAAAACGACTAAACATTAAAAAAATTAAACAATCCAATTAGAAAATTGGCAAAAGACATGAACAGATATTTCATGGAGTGAATAGGCATATGAAAAGATACACATTAGCCACTGTGTAAAAACCACATGAGATGTCACGACACCTACCAGAATGGCCAAAATAAAAGTGACAACACGAAATGCTGGCAGGATTCAGAGAAACTGGGTCACACTCGTTGTTGGTGGAGATGTAAAATGGTGCAGCCACTCTGGAAGTTTGTCCATTTGAAAAACCAAAACGTGCAATAACCATATAATCTAGCGATTGCACTTCTGGTCATTTCTTTCAAAGAACCCAACATTTACACAGAAACCTGTGAAGAATGTTCATAGCAGCTTTATTTGGGATAGCCAAGAACTGGAAACCACCTCCACGTCCTTAACTAGAAGGAGCATACATGGAAAACCACGCAACCACCAACAGAGGCGCACTGTGGACACCACAACCACTGGGAGATATCCAGAGCCTATCGGAGAAAACCCAACCCCAGATGTTACATGTTACTCAACCCCATTTATACATTCTTGAAATGACAGAACTGGCGAGCTGACAAACAGATCAAGGGTTGCCAGGGATTAGGATGGCGGCTGGAGGTGGGGTGGGGTATAAAAGGGTAGAGTGAGATGCTGATGGCAACCAGACGGTTGTGTCCAGGCTGTAGCAATGGTCACACAAAGCTACACATGAGATGATATATAACTAACCATCCTACTGCCGTGTCCATTCCTGATTTGATACTGATTGTAACTAAGATGTAACCATCGAGGAAAGCAGGGTGAAGGGTACCTCTATCTTTGCAACTTCCTATGAATCTGTACATTCAAAACAAATAGGTAGAAAAAAAAGTCATAGTTCTAAACTGATATCTGGAATGGATCCTGCAACTGAGAAAGGACATTAGAAAAACTGGTAGAACCCATATTGTAAAGTGTGATTTAGTTATTTTTGTACCAGTGTTAACTTTTAGTTTTGATAAAGGTACTGAGGTGATGTAAGATGTTAACATGAGGGAGCAAGATGAAGGGTGCATGGAGCCCTTCGGTGAATCTAACGTTATTTCAAGACTGAAATCCTGATGTCAGACCCATTCCATCCCCCGGGTGGGCCCCGGCCTCAGAATGTCTAATTTTCCAGGTGATGAACCCGGGAAAGAGCCACTGTCCGGAGAGGGGCGCACAGCACAGCGAAGCCCTCCATGCCTCAGCAGGCTCTGCAGCTGACATAAGCCAGAGCTACTCCCGGGCGTCTCACCGGCATTGGACACAGAATAATGAGACATCCTCAGGACCTGCTGTTCCCACCTGGGGTTTTGCTCTTGGAGTGATTTCCTGGAGAACAGCTTTCATTCCTGCTGATCCCAGATAAGGACCCAAATTCCTCTGAGAAAGGTTCCAGAAACCTCCGTCCCCCCTGCCCTCTCTGAGATCCAGGTCCCCATGATGCCGCTTCTACGCAGCTGGAGAGCTGTGAGCGGTTAACAGAGGGAAACGGGAAGGAAAAAGACAAAAAACAAAAACAGAATCTTATTGCTCCCGATTCTCCTAAAACCCCATAGCCAGGGATAGGAAACAGGCAAAAGCTTGAAATGCTTCAGAGACAGAAATCTCTTGTTTTTCTAAAGGAAAGGTGGCCGTGATGCACCTGCCCCCCATTCGACTCCCACTCCCTCACTGCTCGCCAGGCACTCACAGCCACACGACCGGGAAGCTGAGCAAGGAGGCGTGACATTGGTCTAGTTCTGGTTCCTGTTCCAGGGATCTGACCATGCAGAAAGGACTGGGTGCACAGAGCCCTCCTCTCACAGGACCTCTCGTTAACACAGAACGTGGCCTGAGCGGGAGGACGGGCTGGCAGGAAACTGCTCCGTGGCCGGGCTCGCCCGTCCCCCAGGCAGATGTGTGGCGGGAAGCACAGGCCGTCCTGTCCCAGGGTCTGCAACTTGCTCAGGGCTCTGCCGGGCCAGCCAGCCGCCTCCACAGGAGGGGCAGGACTGGTGCCACAGGCTTGTGAGGAACTGAATCCAGGTTTGGCATAAAGCGCAGGCTGGGGCGTGCTGAGACACGGCACTGTCAGGGAGGCCTCCACGTTGGCCATCACAAGGCCATGGATTTGAACCCCCAGCCATAACTGGTGCCGTGGTGTGCTCAGAAAGTGCTGCCAGCAGCAGCAGTTGGCAGAGAAGCAGAGCGAGTACAGTGCACTCACGTCATGGCATGGCCCAAGAGGGGCAGGCCATGCACCGTCACAGGGGGCAGGCTGGCCCCCTGCAGGGCGATGGCGGTGTCCTTCCATCCCAGGAAGCAGACCTGGAGGGCTGTGCCCGCTGACCCCTATTTCCTGGAGGAGGCAGGCCCTCCGAGGCTCCGGACGGCGTCTGAAGGGCCATCTAAAACGTGGCTGAGGGGAGGACGGGCTGGCCTACTCCCCAGACCCGGCTGCCTGCAAGCAGTTATACTCCGGGGCTCCGGCCGGGGCTCTCCCCGGCTGCGAGGCCGGGCCGCCGTGGCTGGACCCTAGGAGAGAGAGGGGGAGAATTACTGCCTGACGGAAAGTGGGAGCATCCTCTTGGGGAGGGAGGGGCAGGGCAGGCAGAGGCCTGACTCCGCCTCCCAGACACCCGTAGGGGACACGTCATCACTGAGGCAGGGAAGCAGGGCTGGGCTGTGGCCGCAGGAGGCCGAGGCCGTATGCTGGGCAAGGGGAGCCTGCCCTGCACGGGGCTTTAGCCTCCAAGGCTGGGGCGTCCATGAGTCCTGTCTTCCAGAGAAAAGAAGTGAGAAGCAGCAGGAGGGACGGGAAGGGCCCGCACCCGGGAGGAAGGCCCCCAGGCAGGGAAGCGGTCTGGAGCTCCCCCAGCAGACCTGGGCAAGGAAAGCAAAGCCAAAGGAAAGGGAGGGTATTTATTTACCTTGGGCGTTTTCTTAAAACAAAAAATGCTCACTAACCCAGGCAATTATCAACTGCAGTTTCCAAAAGTGCCAAAGAGGGGAAGGTCTACTGGGCAGGCTGGACAGAGCAGAGAGAGAGAGCAGAGAGAAGAGAGAGAAGAGAGAGAGAGAGAGAGAGAGAGAAGAGAGAGAGCAGAGAGAGAGAGAGAGAGAGAGAGAGAGCAGAGAGAGAGAGAGAGGGAGGGAGGGAGGGGGAGAGAGAAGAGAGCAGAGAGAGAGAGAGAGAGAGAGAGAGAGAGAGAGCAGAGAGAGAGAGAGAGAGGAGAGAGAGAGAGGAGAGAGAGAGAGAGAGAGAGAGAGAGAGAGAGAGGAGAGAAGAGAGAGAGAGAAGAGAGAGAGAGAGAGAGATGAGGATGGTATTAGAGGCGAGGAGCTTGGACGTCCTAGCGACTAGCTTGTAGAGGTAGGATACGTGCCGATCCTCTCTATCGCGCTCGATCGGGTGAATATATCGCGGACTCTATACGAACTCGTATCTCGCTCTATTCTCTCTATCCAGAGGGAGGGCAGTTATTGAGCCGAACCCGCAGGCCTCCGCCCGCACACCGAGGCCGCAGGCACCAGCTGGGCAGGGCCCAGGCAGGGGCGTGCACTCTGCCTCAGGCTGCTCAGAACAGAAGGTCAGGGAACAGGTCTTCATGAACTTTCCCCCGAAAGTCCCGTTCTGTGAGGGCTGCACGTGGAGGAGTTACTCCAAAGTGAAATGCAGGTCAGGGGTCAGAAAACTATTTCTGTAAAAAGTTAGTTCTGCCCTAGCCGGTCTGGCTCTGTGGATAGAGCGTCAGCCTTGGACTGAAGGGTCTTTGGGTTTGATTCTGGTCAAGGGCTCGATTTCCCAATAGGGGGCGTGCAGGAGGCAGCTGATCAATGATTCTTATTGCTGATGTTTCTCTGTCCCTCACTTCCTCTCTGAAATCAATTTTAAAAATATATATATATATATATATCAATATATATAAAAGGCCAGTACTTTCAGGTTTTGCAGGTCACATGGCCTCTGTGACAATTTGACTTCACTATTGTAGCTCAAAGGCTGCCACATACAATCTGTGAACAAGCAGGTAGATCCCAATAAAACTTTATTTGTGCCCTGGCCGGTGTGGCTCAGTTAGTTGAGCACTGCCAGTTCGATTCCTGAGCAGGGTACATGCCTGGAATGCAGGGGGCGTGCGAGGGCAGCCAATCATTGTTTTTCTTTCTCTTTCTCAAAAATCACTAAGAACATATTTAAAAAACAAAACTCAACTATTTACAAGAACAGGCCAAGGACCAGAACCAATCCTTGATCCACTGCTCTATCGGAGTCAAAAACCACCCTGCGTCTGAGCACGTTCTCTGGGAGGGCCTGCCTGCAGCCGGAAGCCGTGCTCCTGAGGCCTCCGTGCGGAGTGACAGCCAGCCCTCCAGGAGGCAGGGACGCAGCAAGGGGCCAGAAACCAGGGCCAGGAGCGGAAAGACAGCGGTGAGCCTCATGGGCAAAGGTCAGCCGCACCGGAGAACAGCCCCAACGTGACTGCAGAGCAGGAGGCAATCTGTTACAAAGGGGCATGACGCACAGGCTCACTATCCATCAGTCCCTTAGGGGACTGACCTACGAGCAGCAGAAGCCAAAAAAGGGCTTAAACCTTGGGAATCGGGTAAAAGATGAAATGAAGAGAAAACCATCCTTCCGAGACCTAAGTCTGTACTCTGAACGTGACACGCGCAGGCCGAGCAGCAGATGGGGCCGGGAAAGGCTCCACACGAGAAAACCAAAGGCTCTGAGCCCACGGCCAGGACAAACAAGGGGACGTCACAGAATCAACGACCTCACCGGACGCAGGGCAGAGGCCCGTGTGCGCCCGGGAGGGGCCCTGGGCAGCCCACGCCGGACTGAAGCAGCGCGCCCCACCCGGGGCCCCTTTCCCAACACCCAGTGTGGGGGCGGGGGCACTGCGATCCCTTGCTCCTGTATCCCCCTCAGAGAGCATCTTTGTGCTGTAAGAACTTCGTGTGCTCAGCATGGGCCTGAGCAGGCACCGCTGTTCTCCGGGAGGCACCACGGCAGGGACAAGGGCGCACATGGGCTGCACGCGGGGGGCCTGAGTCCGTCTCTGCCCCAAATCTTCATCTGGACAGTGAGCATCACCCCCCGCCCAGGACTCAGAGCACGGTGCCCACGAGCTCAGCCCCCTGCGGCCTTCCCGCCCACAGCCTCAGCGCGTCTCCGACCCCGACCGGGAGGAGCTCCGAGTAAAGGAACCTCCTGATTAACGAGGGCAAGAAGGTTCCCGACGCTGCCTCCTCCCACCCCCTCAGGGAGCCTCCTCACACTGGAGGGTGGGGTTTGCCACCTCCCATCATAAAGCTGAGCCCCGTCACAAGCGTCTTGCGCAGAGGAGCCCAGGGCGGGATCCGAGCCTCTCCTAGCACAGGCCTCGGGGGCCTATGGCTGGGTGTGCCCACCAGCCACCGCCTTCGGAGCCAGGCCCACCGGGACCCAACCTCACTTTCTGGGGGACCTAACCCTAATCCCAAATGACCACGTCTGGACATGATCTCATTCCCTAAGTCAACCACCCAACAGGCTCTCAAGAGAAAACGCTGCCTTCACAGACTCAAGCGCCTGCTGGTGGACAGAACTCGGGGCCGCCGGAGGAAGGGGAGGAGGGAGAATGCGGGCAGAGGGAGCCAGTGTGTGTGCAGCAGCGCGGCCCCGGGCTCACCTGCTGCCGCGGCTGTGCTGTCACCGAGGAGCCGGGTCCGGCTGCCCGGGGTGACCTGGAGGCCCGCACTCTCGGGGCACGGGGGCAGGCGCTGGGCTCGGCTGGCCAGGAGCGCATTGAGGTACTGGAGCCGCGTGACCTGGAGGAAGAGCGCATTTCGGAGCAGTGAGGCGCCCGCCCACGCCACCCCCTCCTGCCCACAAGCACGTGAACCCCCTGGGCGTCACTCTGGGCGGATGAGGAGAAGGAAGAACCACAGGCTAGCTAAGGTCAAGCGAGCAAAGTGTCCTTAAGGTCAGAAGGAAACTGGGTGCCTAGGCCCAGAGGCGAGACCGATCAGCAGCCGTCGGAGGCGGCAGAGCCAATTCAAGGTTTGCTCTGGGACGTCTCAGACTGACTTCCTAGGAATTTACTCTCAGGTCACACAACATGGTGACCAGGGGTCTAACCTTCGGGGACACAAAGCTCGTCAGAGGCCAGAGCCAATGAGAGTCCAAACCTTGATGAACTGCAGGTCAGAGAGGGCCCTCACGGTGTAGTCAGGACAGTACGTGGACGGGCGGGTGCCGTCGGCTGGCTCAGGCTGTGGGTCCTGGCAGAGGGCCTGGAGCGAGGACACCGGGGACTGGTGAACTAGGGAGAGAACGAGCAGTCACGGGAGCCCACTGGGAGCTGGCAGCCCACCGTGGTGGGGACTCCTGCACAGCCGCGGAGCCCCCACCTCACACCGGGACCTTGGCCAGGAGCTTGGGGAGATGGCAAACAGCTTCCTCCAGGGAGAGGTGTACAGGAATGGGAGGGAGCAGCCAAGACCAGCCCTGAACACCTGCCCTTCCCGCACGCCCTGAGCGGCAGCCCCGCAGTCCTGAGGCAGGCCGGCCTGTAGGAGGCCGTGCTGGGAAGGGAGAGGGCAGGTCCTGGTCCGGGGGCCCCACCACAGCAGAGGGAGGGCCCCAGCCAGCCCGCCTTCACCGGGGGGCGGGGGCAGGGGGCACAGCTTACCTGAAGACGGGGCTGTCAGGGCAGACAAGCCATAGTAGGTGAACGCCCCGTTCTCGAACCTCAGGCCCTCCTTCCCGATCTCCACCTCAACCCTGCCCTGGGAGGCGGAGAGAGACAGACGCATACACGTTACGTCTCCTGCCGGAAGGAAGCACAAGCAGAAGCACCCACTCTGATTACGCAGGGGGGTACCTAGACGTGCCTCCCTCGCTCAGACCCGTCCCTGCTTTCCGACCGGTGGGGGCCTGGCCGGGCTCCTGTTACCTGCAGGATGAGGATGAAGTAATCCACCGGCTGGCTGCGCTGGTACAGGTAATGGTGTGCAGCCAGGCGGTTGCTCTGGTCAAACCTCACCTCCTGGTTGACGCTGGGGTGCCTCAGCAGGTGCAACAGGACCTTCTCGGAGATTCGCAACGGGCTGAACACATCCACCTCTGCCCGCGGCAGAGAGAGAGAGTGTCCACTGGGCCCTTAGCGGCCAGCGTAACCACCGACACCTGCTGCCCACCTGCAATCTCCTGGCCGGCCCTCGAGCGAGTCCCTCCCAACACAAGAGGCCTCGCAGCCACACACACCACCACCAGGCTTCCTCGCACAGGTGGCCTCAGCCTGGCCCTGCTTCTGGATGTGTGGGGAGCGGACGGCTCCCTTGGGTAACCCGAGTGTCCAGAAGGGTGTCTGCTGCCAGGACAGCCAAGAGGAGCACAGAGCTGCTCCTGGACACTCTCCTGCTTACTGGGATGGGAAGGCAATGGCTGCCCGGGGTCTCCTGACCCACTGGACGGGTAAGCAGGAGGGTGGGGACAAGAACACCCCTCATCCTCACCTCGGGAAAGGAAGCGCTGGGTGGCCAAGAGCAGCTGAGGCGAGATTTTCACTTTACACTCATTGTCAGACACCTTGAACAAGGAGGATTCCTCTTTCCGCCTGAGAGGGACACTGAGAGGGACACTGAGAGCAGCAGGCTTCTTCCTCACCGTGGTGTCTCCTGGGATGGCGAGCAGAAGGCAGCTTAGGCACCAGCAGCCCTCCTGCCAACATGCCTACCCAAGGGGCATGCTGCCTGCACCCCTAGCCCCCAGGACACATCCTTGGGTGGTGCCCGGCTGTCAGTCCCACACAGTGGCCCTGGTGCTCAGGACAGAGAGCCAGAGGCCCACACACAGCCATTCCCCGAGAAAGGACCTCTCCGTGGAGCTGGGAGGAGACAATGCCGACAAGACAGAAAGAAGCTAAGTGACAGGCTCCTGTGGCCGTTAGAAGAGCACTCGCCGGAAGCAGGCATTGGGGGACCTGGTGCTACCCGGTGGCATCTAAGTGGTAGCTCTGAGCCTGGAGCAGCCCAGGGAACGAAACTAGAGGTGCTACAGGAAGGGACACCGGGGCAAAGCAGTTCTCCCGACAGCACACACAGGTGGGAGCCCCGGCGCTGGGCATGGGCTCTATGCCATCCTGCAGACCTGTCACCATCCTAAGAGGCAGGTGCTTCTAAGACACAAGCACGGGCCCAGAGACAGGTTTTGGGAGGACCCTCTTAGCAAAGAGCCGGCTCTCAGTAAAGAACAAGTTTGAGGAGACACTGTACAAACCACATGAGAAGCAAAAGGAGTGAGGAGGAATCTTGGAAACGCCCGTAAGGACAGAGGCCCCTCAGTGACGGGAGAGCAAGCGGCACCCCAAGCAGGTGCTGGAACTGCGAGGCCCCGGGGGGGGAGGGTGGCCACATGGCCCCGCCCCCGGAGGGTGCTCTCCCGTAAGGGCAACACGGGTGCGCAGGGGAAGAACAGAGACCCGGCACCCCCCGAACGGAAGCACACCCCTCAGGGCCCGAAGGCCACGGAGCCAAAAGCGGCCAGCAGGCGGGACTCACGGTAGTCCTCGGACTCGTCCAGGATCTCGGACTTGATGATCTCCTGAATGACGTCCTCCAGGGTGACCAGGCCCAGGACCTCGTAGAAGGGGTCACCTTCCCCCTCGTTGTTCACCTTCTGCACGATGGCCAGGTGGGACTTCCCTGGGGAGGGGAAGTGCCTGTGACAGGGTGCCAGAGGCTCCCGTATCTGGGTCCCATCCTGCACAAGCCCACAGGACAGATACTGATGTTTGTGTCCCTAAGACGCACCAAGCACTGGGTGTGACTTTTCTGGGAGATTATATACACACACACACACACACACACACACACACACTATACACACACACACACATTTTTTTTTATATCAGAGAGGAAGAGGGTAGAGAGAGATGGAAATATCAATGATGAGGGAGAATCATTGATTGGCTGCCTCTTGCACGCCCCCAACTGGGGACAAGTCCACAACCCCAGCCTGTGTCCTTGACAGGAATGGAACCTGGGACCCTTTAGTCCACAAGCCAACAGTCTATCCACTGAGCCAAACCAGGCAGAGCTGGGATCTTAATGCTCACAGGCCTGGCCTCACCTCACACGGGAGGAACCCGAACCCGGACACTGCGCTCCCAGGCACAAGGCCCCCCGAGCCAGAGTCTGCCCCGGCCTGCGTAGCTCCACGCCGTCAATGTGGCTCAGCCGTGGATGCATCAGATAAACTGGGGACACAGGCACCAACTGGAAATGGAGGCTCCCCAGGACCGACTAAGTGGAGCGGAGAGAGGCCCCCGTCTGACCCCCCGAAGGCAGACTCCCCGGTTCTGAAGGCTGCCCTTGCTGTCCAAAGCCAACGTCTAGGAAGGCCATCCAGGGCCTGTGTGGGAACGTTCCCTTTCCTCTCTGTCTCTGTTACCTCCTCTTTGTTTAACAAGGAAATGTAAACTTGAAAAAAGTCCCACACTTCCTGAGTAGTGGGCTTGTTGGGAAAAGTCAGGAGCTCACCCTGCTTAGTGAGTGCTCTTCATCTATAGAACCGTGTACACGCACAAGAGAAACACAATGCAAGCCACTCATGTGATTCCTAAGTTCTGATAGCTACATTAAAAAAAAATAAAAAGACCCAGGTGAAATAAAAACTGGTAATCTACTGTTTTAAGTCAATATAGCTAAACCACTTTGACATGCAATCAATATAAACACATTAACAAATGTTTTACTTTTTGTGCGAGTCTTTGAAGTCTACTGTGTGTCTGCATTTATAGCACAGCAGACTAGTTACCTCTCCAGGCTCAGGAGCACACCTGGGCGGTGGCAACTGGGCTGAGCAGGTCCTGGGCCCGAGAGCAGGCTGATCTCCACGCCCTACTCTGTTACCAGGGAAACGGCTGGCCTGGGGGGAAAGTTGGCTTGGGCTGCAAAGTAGAGGGTACTTGCTTCAAGAATCTTTTGGATCCCTTCTTTGTGTGAATCCTCCTTTCTATACCCTGGGTTTAACCACAATTCTATGTGTTGAGGTTAGAAACATACTCTGTGGAGCTCTATGAGGCACGCATGCCCCATTCCTGTAGCATTTATGCTATCGCCCCGCCGCCCCCAGGGGTCTGGACCTCTGCTCCAAAGCTGGATGAAATGCAAATGTGAAGACTTAAGCAAAAGCCATCTATCCTATTTAATAAAAGAGTAACATGCAGATTGACCATCACTCCAACACACAAGATGGCTGCCCCCATGTGGACACAAGATGGCCGCCACAAGATGGCCAGCAGGGAGAGCAGTTGGGAGGGTCCAGGCCTGCAGGGGAGGACAGTTAGGGGTGACCAGGCTGGCAAAGGAGGGAAGTTGGGGGCAAAGAGACTGGCAGTGGACAGTTAGACATCAATCAGGCTGGCATGGAAGTGGTTAGGGGGCAATCAGGATGGCAGGCAGAAGCGGTTAGGGGCAATCAGGGGCAGGCAAGCAGTTGGGAGCCAGCAGTCCTGATTGTGAGAGGGATGTCCAACATCCCTTGAGGGGTCCCAGATTGGAGAGGGTGCAGGCTGGGCTGAGGGACCCCCTTTTCCCCCCCATGCACAAATTTCGTGCACTGGGCCTCTAGTCCTATACAATAAAAGCCTAATATGCTAAGTGTCCAGTCATTCAGTTGGCCATTCAACCAATCAAACCATAATATGCTAATGATATGCTAAGGTCACTCAACTGCTTGCTATGATGTGCACTGACTACCAGGGGGCAGACACTCCAACCAGTAGGTTAGCTTGCTACTAGGGTCAGGACTGAGTGAGACAGGCCAGACATACCCTGGTGCCCTCCCACAGTCTCTGCCTGGCCTCAATCATGCACCAGTGGGGTCCCTCAGCCTGGCCTGTACTCTCTCGCAATCTGGGGCCCCCTCGGCGGATGTCAGAAAGTCCATTTTTGTCCCAACAGCAGAACAACCAGTCACTATGACATGCACTGATCACCAGGAGGCAGACACTCAACACAGATTTGCACTCCCACAGGGGAGTGCTGCTCAGGCAGAAGCCAGGCTCACGGCTGGCGAGCACAGAGGTGGTTCCCAGACTGTGAGAGGGAGCAGGTCAGGCTGAGGGACACTCCCAAGTACACAAATTTCGTGCACCTGGCCTCTAGTCTATACATATACAGATACATATACCGTACATATACATATGCACATGCATACACACGCATACACACACACACACACACACACACACACACACATATGGCTGATTTACAAAGTGTCCCCTCCAGAGTTTGACCGAGAGACCAGGATTTCAATCGCTTGCTATGATGGGGGGTGGGGGGGCACAAAATGAAGGCAGGCCCTGATTGCGGGCCAGGCCTTGGGACCCTATCCCTGCACGAATTTGTGCCCCGGGCCTCTGGTTACTGTATTTAGTAGCAGAAAACCACTAGCGGGATGATCAAGAAAGGAATGAGGCTGTGAAAGGATAAAAAGATAACACTTGCTGTACCTCATCAAGCCTCAGGTGCCATCAATTGTGAGCACAGCCTGACTGCAGATGGGTGAAGCAGCAGGACTGAATGCTTACCCTGGGCACCAAGGGCTTTACTCAGTAACTCACCAAGTCCGCCACACCCCTCTGGGCATACAGCTCCATCATCCCCACTTACAGTTTACAGAGAAAGTGAGGCCGAGGGAGGTCCAAAGACCCATCCCAGAGCAAAGCCAGGATTCGAATGCAAGTAGCTGGCTCCCGAGTCCATTCTCTTCACCACCACGCTCCACTGGCTCTCCCCGAGTCTGAGAGCCCGGCCCTTGGTGGCTCCCGAGTCCATTCTCTTCACCACCACGCTCCACTGGCTCTCCCCGAGTCTGAGAGCCCGGCCCTTGGAGACTCCCACAGGCCCTTCTAAAGAAAAGAGCATCGTTTTCTTGTCATCTCGAGGATGCTCTAATATGCTCAAAAACTAAAGGAGGAAATGCTGCATTACGTTGTCTCGCCCCCAGAGGAAAAGCCAGGGAGCTCAAAGAGGGATCGGCTTGTTCCTGATGAGGTGGCAGCCCCGCCCCTTGGGGTTGTGGTGGGAATGGCTCACGAGGGCAGGCGCCGTTTCTAGAAGGGCCAGGGGACTCTGCCACATGACACCAATGTCAGGCCACTCTGACAGCAGCCTTCTCCGGCTCTGAAACCAGATCCCAGGCTCCAGGGGCCTCCGAGGTCGCAGAGGACACACCTCGGCTCCCTTCTCCCAGGAGCCGCTGGCTCTGGCAGGCGACCTGCAGAACGGACTGACTTCTCCTTTGTCTTCAAACTTCTATGAAACGGGCACAACTTTCTCAGGGACCTGCCACATGGAGGCCCCCTCAAACAGTGGCCAGGGGATTTCCTCTCACGACAACGTCTGAAGGTGTCCAGAAGGCAGCGAAAGGGAGCAGTAGTACACAGAGAAAGGGCAGCTGGAGGGATTGGGTTTATTTTTCATCTGAGAGGATAAAATGCCCTGAAAATATGGGCCCTGCTGGCTGACTGCAAAGCTGGCATCGGCCCTGCCACAGTGCCAGAACCACAAGCAAGAAGCAGATGGTGCATCTCACCAGCATGTCCAGAAAGCCCTGGAAGGCTCCCCTGTGTAATCTTAGTTGTTTCGTTAGCAGGCACAAGGGTACTCATAAGTTATGGTACTTATGGCTTCAAAGGAAATACAGCCCCAAAGCACTCACTCTTCCTGGCAATCTTTGCACAAAATCATCGTGTGGACTAAGTCTCCCCATTGGGGAAAGTGACTTTCCGAGACGATGATGGTTCCGGAAGCAGGACAGGAACGGTGGCTGCCAAGATGCCAGAGACTCCAGTGGGAGGGAATTCAGAGGCACCACCACCTACACGCCTGGCAGAGGCGGACGGGCACCAAACTCTAAAACCTCAGGCACCATCAAGGCTACAACATGCTATGTTCATAGGGGTTATGCTAGAAAGGATTCTAACGAGGAAAAGTAAAGACATCCACCAGAGAATTACATGAGCAAGGAGCAGAGAAAGCTCCAGGATTTCACAGAGACCGACGTGGTCATTCTGCCCTGAGAGTGGCCCTCCCTCACCACAGAGGAAGGCAGGGATGGAAGTGCTCCCCACTCAACCTCCATCAGCTCCCAGCAGCAGCAGCAGCGGTCAGCAGGCAGCTACAGGGTCAGCATCAGGCTGCAGGAAGCCTGTGTGGCTCTCCGGAGCTGCTCTGGGGCCACCACCCAGCACAGGAGTGGCCTGCACAGTGGCCGTCCCTCTCTACTGGCTCCTTTCCAACATCTAAACTAAGCCCACCCGACTCGCCCATCTCAATCCGGCCATAACCTCCCAGCCACTGCTCGTGGCTTCTGCTCTCCAGCCACACCTCCCAGAGGCTCTTCATAACCTGCCACACCCCTAACGCCCACTCACTCCATGTTGTCCCACACCGTGGCTAGCCAGGCCAGACGGCACAATGCTGGCCTCCTCTCCCAATCACTGGCCTTCCGTGGCTTCCAGATGCTCCAGGCTGCTGGCTCTCCTCAGCAGCCTCTCTGCTGCCTCCCCACCATGCCTGTGCCCCTCTGCTCCTTTTCTGTGGTGGAGGGACCACTTCTACACCCAGAACCAGACCTTCACTCCACTCAGGTCCTTCCCATTTCACGGCACCTGCCCCCTAGGACTTGGCCTCCGGCCACTGCACAAACTCCGAAGTCCAGAACAAACTCCTCACCCAGCCCCTGCCCTCACCTTCCTGCAAGCCAGGTCTCATCCCCAGCTCCTCCCTCTTGCTGAAAAGCCCCTGACAACCACAAAACCTTCCCAATTCTACCTCCAAATGCCCTTTTGGGTCTCCTTCCCAAACCCCATTCAGCCCGCCACCCTCTCCCTCTGTGCCATCGCCTCCCGCTCCCGCCCCATGGTCTCCACACCAGTCGTGGTGAGATGCTCTGCTTACAGGCACCACCCTGCGGTCAAGTCCAGCCTCCCCACGGTCTCAAGCTGGGAGGCAGCAGGGGCAGGTGGAATAAACCCTCCCAACTGACTCCAGGGCCACCTCTTAGAATACAGTGGCCCAGATGGAGTACTAACCACCAGGAGGTTCTGTCTGGCCCCCACCTGGGGGGCTCCCCACCTCTGAGAGGGGCTGAATGACCCCCTTCTTGGAAGACAGCTGGGAGCGCCCTTGAGATTCCCTAGCAGAGCAGTCAGAGCTACCCATCAAGCCTCCGGTCCAATGGGAGGCCTGGCACTAACAGTAACCGCCAGCCCAGGCAGCACCCAGGCCTCCCGCAGGGTGCACATGAGCGCCCAGAACTGTCTGCATAAGCAGTGCTAACGCAGGAGTAACAGGGTCAGGTCCACAAGCCCTGCCCCCGCCTCCCTGCATCCCTGCTTCCCTGTCCCCTGCCTCCCTGCCTTCACCACCCGGGGCCAGCCACAAAGGTCAGGGGGCTTTATTACTTCCCAGCCTCACATTACACAGCCTCTGGGATGAAGCCCACCCAGAATTCTGGGGTGTCCCCTGTGCCCACCCTGCAGTTCAGGTCTGAGAAGCTGGCTGGCAGCCGAGGAGCAGCCACGCTGTGAGGAGCACGTCGTGTTGGCCACGGAAAGGACTACAGGGCAGCCCACACCTTCACACCTGGAGGGTAGGTTTTGGATTTTACCTGCAACCTAAGAGCTGCTCAGATACATCAAGGTGAAAGAGAGTAAAATGTGGTTACGGGAGAACCTGAAAGCCCTTATGGAAGTTTTCTGAAAGAAGACAGCTGAAGGGGAGACTAAATCGGCATCCATGAAGTTGTTTCTGGCAAAATCAAAGTGGACATTCCATCCACACCTGCAGGAAGGTATTTGTCAACCACTCCTTTCCTGTCATCAGCAAAGCAGCAGCCCTCCGTGACCTGAACAAGGACGAGCTGGAAACACACTGCGGACGGACGAGGACAGGGCAATTTCACATCACAGGCCTCCCTGGCTCACTGCTCTTCACAGGGGCTGCGTTTTTGACAGGTGGAAGGCAAGACCCTCCACCAGCAAAAACATTAAGCCTCGATATCTTAGGAATGTGCCTGCATATGAGGGCAGATAATAGGTATCTGGAGACAAGTTTTCTCTACGTTTTTTAGTTTCTATTCGAGAGTTTGGATATGTACAAACCCAAAGCCCATAATGGGGGCTGGAATCTAGTGGACATGCCTCCCAGAATTGGGGGCCTACCAGGAAAGGGGACGGTTTGCTCGCTGTCACCCTCTGAACGATGGTCCTTAAGTGATATTTCAGAAGGTCATTCAGAGCTGCAAGGCCATCATCTTCTTTATTTTATTGATTTTTTACAGAGAGGAAGAGAGAGGATAGAGAGTTAGAAACATCGATGAGAGAGAATCATCGATCAGCTGCCTCTTGCACCCCCCCCCCCCCCCCACTGGGGATGTATCCGCAACCAAGGTACATGCCCTTGACCGGAATCGAACCCGGGACCCATCAGTTCGCAGACCGACGCTCTACCACTGAGCCAAACCGGTTTCGGCCCATCATCTTCTTTAAAAGGACACGTAGAGGTCTCATTGCCCCTCATAGGGCTGGGACCCTCTCCCCGAGGCTTCGGTAACCCCTCACCCCTTTCTAGGGAAGACCGAAGGCCTTCGGGTCCCCTCCGCGACTCCCAGACCTTACCTCGCTTGAACTCTTCCAAAACGGCGTCCAGCTTGGTGTCGTTGAAGACAAAGTGGAGCGGGTGGTTGTAGAAGCGGGTGATGGTGCTGAGCGGCGTGCAGTCCTCGGGGTCCACGAAGGCCAAGTCCTTGAGGTAGAGCATGTCCACGATGTTGGAGCGCTCCTCCTCGTACACAGGGATGCGCGTGTGGCCGCTCTGCATGATGCTGGCCAGGACGCCGAAGTCCAGCACGGCGCTGGCTTCCAGCATGAAGCAGTCCTCCAGCGGCGTGAGCACGTCCTCCACGGTCCGGTAGCGCAGCACGCCCTTGCTGAGGTCGCTGTAGAGATCGCCGCCGCCCCGGGCCAGCTCCAGCACGCGCTCGCGCAGCCGCCCGGGGCGCGCCGCCAGCTCCAGCAGCTGACCCACCGGCAGGGCCACGGGCAGCGTGAGCAGCACGGCCAGGCGGCTGAGCGCCAGCGCGCGCGGGGCCAGCGCCAGCGTCCAGCGCCCGCTCACGGCGGCCGGCAGCACCTCGGCCACCAGGAACGCGAGCCCGGCGCTGCCCAGCACGGCGGGCACGGCGCGCTGGCCGGCCGCGCGGTACAGCAGCACGGCCAGCGCCGCCTGCGCCAGGCAGGCCAGCAGTAGCAGCGCGCCCAGGGCGTAGCTGGCCCAGCGCCGCGCCGACTCCAGGCGCCGCGCCGCCGCGCGCTCCGCCTCCGTCCCGTTCTCGCGCAGCACCTGCACCTCGGCCGGCGTCAGCGCCAGCGCGCTCAGCTGCAGGCCGCGCGCCAGCGCCGCCAGCGCCAGCAGCCCTGCGGCGCCCAGGCCGAGCGCCCAGGGCGGCACCGCCTCCGGGAACGCCGCTGCCGCGACGCTGGGCTCCGCGCGCACGGCCTCCGCGCGCAGGCGCAGCAGCGCACGCCACTCGCCCGCGGGGGCCGCTGCCGCCGCCCCGCCGCCCGGCTCCCCGCGCACCGCCAGCAGCGTCGAGTGTGGGTGCTCGGCCTCGGCTCGCAGACGTAGCAGCGCGCGCCACTCGCCTGTCGGGGCCGCCGCCGCCGCCTCCCCCCCTGACGCGGCTGCCGGCCCGACCGGCCCGCCCTCGGGGCAGCCCGCACCCTCGGGGGCCGCCCAGGACCAGGAGCTGTTCCCGAAGCCCCAGCCAAAGAGGCGCAAGCGGAAGGTGGCCTCAGGCACGGCCGGCACCTCCCCTCCGCGCGCCCACGCCGCTCCCGCGGACCCGGCCTGCTCCAGGCAAACGCCCAGCACCCGTGGACCCTGCGCCACCTCCCCCGCGGCGTGACCCAGACAGAGCGCGGCCAGCAGCCAGCCCAGCCGCCCCGCCGCCGCTGCTGCCGCCATCGCCCGCTGCCCGTCTCGGGCCCCCGCGCAGCCTACCTCCGCCTCCGCCGGCCAATAGGCGCCGGCCTCGCGCTCCCCTTCGCCAATGGGCGACGCATGGGGGCGGGCCTAGGGTCGGGCTAGGCTGCGCCGGGGCGTAAACAAGTGGCGCGGGCCGGGCGGGCCGGGGCGGGGCTGACGGCCGGGGAGTGAGGGGGCGGGGCGCGGTGCTCGGGAGGTCGGCCTCCTGACTCCGGAGGCCCTGAGCTCTGACAGGTCCCCGGCTGGCTAGCGGCCGCAAGCGAGGGTCTCGGTGTAGGGAGACGTGTCGCTTTCTGAGGGAAGGGCCTGGGAACTGCCGACTAGAGACGGAGGGCGAAGGGAAATCCGAGTTGGGCTCGGTGAAGCTAAGGTCCGGAAGATGCTTGTTGATGGCTTCTGACCCGCTCTAGTCCCGGGAACGGAGACAGCTCTTGCAGGAAAGCATGGAAACACAGGAGATCACTACCCCCTGGGACCTTCGCCGCTACTTCATGTTATTTTCCAGGAGAAAAGTGAAGCATGACTCGGCGGATGTTGGGTTCCAACACGACCTGCCTAATACGCGACACCCTCCCAGGTCAGCACCCCAGCCGCATTCGGAGACTGTCAGGAATGCCTGACCTATCCGCTGCACTTCTATTGTAGTTCTTGGTCTTAGGCTTCCTGAGGAAAGGACATAGCAATCACTCATTTTGTTGGGAAACCTTTGGACAGTTGAAGCCTTTGGATCACACAAATGGTCACTTGTCAATATCCAAAGACAAAATCCAGCACAGCCCTGGCTGGTGGCTCAGTAGAGCATTATCCTGTACACCAAAGGTTTCTGGTTCAATTCCCATCAGGGCACATACAAAGGTTGTGGGTTCAGTTCCAGACTGCACTGCAGAAGGCAATTTCCTCTCTAAAAAAAATTATACACACACACACTCAGGCGAGGATGAAAAGAATATATTAGATAGCTTATATTTATAGAGTTATCTTTAAAAAAAAAAAAGAAAGAAAAAAGAAAGAAAAGGAAAGAATCCAGCACAGGGAAAAGCTGCTCACGAAGTGCTCCCCTGCTAACAGTAGAGGCTTCTACAGTGCTTCAGGTCCCTCGTTGACCCTCCCTGGGCCATTTTCATTACTGGTCATTTGGTTCAAGACATTTCCATGTTTTATCCAAATATTTGAGTTTTAAACCCATAGCTACTGTGACTTCACTGGCTAATTCCTGCTTATTTCTGGTCTGCAAATGTTACTTCCTCCAACTGGTCTTCCTCCACCATCTAGACTAGGTTGAGTCAAGATTATGAGAGCTAGGTGCTGCTCCCCCAGAGCATCCAATACTTATCTATAGTGGTAAGTTCACTCATTCAATAAGTATTTCCTTTATTGAGTGTCTGCAATGTACCAGGTCCTGTTCTAGTGGTGGGACTATCTATATATATAAAAGCCTAAGTGACCAAATGACCCAATGACCATTCGCGATGACATGCACTGACCACCAAGGGGGCAGATGCTCAACGCAGGAGCTGCCCCCTGGTGGTCAGTGCACTCCCACAGCAGGAACTCCGCTCAGATGACCCACTGTCCCAGCAGCCCACCACTCACTCCCTCAGTAGTTCTGTAGGTCCAATCTCGGAGAATGTGCCAGGCACTGATGGGCCAGTGCCACGGGCATGATCCCAACAGCAATGCTGGCCTGAAAGTCAGCCTCGGGCACCATGGCTGCTTCCCCTACCTAAATGCTCCTCAAGGAAGAAACGATATAAAAGTGGCCACCAGGTGGCTCCCGACACCCAGCGTGAATGTCAGTGGGACAGATCGCCAGGGTGTCCCACCACAGCCCTGGAGGGCTGAAGGCATCCAGGACCCACCCCCAGCCCCCTTGAGCGAATGCCAGACACAGGGCTTTCCCATCGCGGACTGACTGGGCTGGAGCCTGCAGCAGGTGCAGCGGGGCTCTGAGGAGCAGGAGTGGCAGGCAGCGTTGGACTGCCGGCTTTGGCCTGATCCCCGCAGGCCACCCTGAGGGACCCCATCTGGGCACAATTTCATGCACCAAGCCTCTAGTGTGGAAATAAGTCCCTGCCCCCCTGAGCTTAGGTCCTCGTTTAGGGACAACCGGAAATGCACAAATCATATTTTAATATCCTGCAGTAAGTGCCACGGAGAAAAACAAGAGGAGATGCTGTTTTATGTGGGGTGATCCAGGAAGCCTTCTCCAAGGTGACATTGGAACAGGCCTAAACCAAGCAAGGAGGTGAACCCTGGGGCAGACTGTTCCAGGCAGAGGAGACAGCAAATCCAAGGGTCCTTGTGTGACTGTCTCCCCGAGAGGGTCTTCCTCAGTAAACTCACTGAGGGGTCAGTGGCACCTGGCAGCAGGGGCTTTAACGTGGAGATGGATGAATGATACTCTTCCCACCATTACACAGCTTTTTGCATTTGTTTTTTCTTTTGTCTGGAATGTCCCCCCAATTTGGCAACGTTGTTAAGCCTGTCTGGCTTGGCCAAGGTACCTTTGGGCACTGCAAGAGTGGGTGTAGTGAGGTCACCCTCAGGTGGGCCCCTCAGAGGCAACTGCACATTATAAAACAATGTGATCCCATGTTTGGGTCAAGCTCCTTTCTCCGTCAGCCCCAGGGAAAGAGGAGAGGCAATCTGCCCATTCCAACTGCCCCTTCAGTACCTGGACCCAGGAGGGCTGTGGTGTCCGTTTTACAGGTTCCTAATTGTGGCAACTGAGCACATTTGCCATGTATGTCTAGCAGCTCCTGTGAGGACAGCCTTTGTTACATACTAGAGGCCTGGTGCATGAAATGCATGCGCAGGGAGGGGGGGGGGGTCCCCTCAGCCCAGCCTGCACCCTCTTGCAGTCCAGGAGACCTCAGTTAGTTAGACATCCTTAGCAGTACTGAGGAGGTGGGAAAGGCTTCTGCCACCACCGTTGCGCTTGCCAGCCTTGAGCCCAGCTTCTGGCGCTCTGCCTTGGGAATGCTCAGACCATCAGGGGGCAGCTCCTGCATTAAGTGTCTGCCCTCTGGTGGCCAGTGCGCATCATAGCGACCAGTTGTTCCACTGTTCAGTTGATATGCATATTAGCCTTTTATTATATAAGACATTTTAAAAATTACATTGCTGCTGCTTTTTCACTGCAAAACAATCTCAGAATATTTGTCTCTTGATATGACACAGTGACAGCCAACCACAATCACTTCTATTTCTATGAAAGGTACCGAATACTGACTGAACTTAAATAGGGAAATTGTAGATGCACCAGGATTTCATATTTCATTTTTTTTATTACCAATCAAAAATAAATTCCATATATTGTTTAGCAAATATTATCATTGTTTTGTGACAAAAGACACAAGAGTCATAACAACAAAACTCCCCGAGAGTCAAACTCATAACAATGCCAAAATAAATCACAAATATATACAAATTAAAATCTTCTGCAAAATAAATATGTTACTTGCTATGGTGGCTGTGACTTGCCTACCCATTTGGAGGCCATCCCTCACACAGGAAGACATGCAGGGATGCGCCAATTCCAGGGTAGAGCTCAGCCCAGGAACCAGAAGTTGGAATAGGAAGTGAAAAATTGCACTGGGAGGAGGAAGTCATCGGACCAGTAATATTTGGAAATAATTACGACCCTTTGCAAGAAGTGATTATAAATGGGGAAGGGAAGGACGGGGGAGAAGGGACAGCTGTTGATAGTAACCGTGTGTGCAAAGAGGTAGCGTGGAAGTGTTTTTACTTCACACACACTCACTTGGTTCAGGCCAATGTGCTTGGCCCTGCCTGGCACTCAGGTCTCAAAAACACAGCTTTGCAAGCTTCCATGTGGACTCCGAAAGCAAGCTGTGCGTGTAGAAAACTAATGGGTTTCCCCACAGGGAACAAAACGGTCCAGTGTCTTTTCTTCCTTCTGGCTGAGAACCCATGGGTATCACCACCTTCTCTCCAAACTTTTAGGAACAAATTCTGTGACTGGCCAGGGGTAGGCATACTTGGAGCAAGACATTTCCCGGTCTCAAGACTTAGGGTTCTCCAGGCACCTGACGAGCAGAGCCCTTTAGGAAAGGAGTGAATAGACAGTACTCAGGGGGAGGCCTACAGAGTCTCCTGCACCTGATCTTGGGCAACTTTCCACCCATCAAAAGGGCCAACACGGACCTTGGTCCCGCAGCCTCCCCAGCAGGGAAGCCCGAAGCTGTGCGGCAGGTAGGGGCTGACAGCCCCAGGGAAAGGTGCTGGGCAGGACTTCCTGTGGGCGAGGAGCTGTGCCCCAGCTTCTCACAGGACAAGACACGTCTCACAGAGGATTTCGGACCTGGGGGACGTGGCCGCCGCGGTGTGTCCTTGAGGCTGAAACCTCTCCTGGGTTATGAAGTGTCTAAATAGGCAGGCGAGCCTCAGCCACGAGAAAGGGCATGGAGACCTGCGTAGGTCGGCTTCTTACACATCCTGTTCTCAATCCCCAGGAGACCTCAGGGTTCAGATTAGAAGTAGGGAGTCCGGAAAGCAGAGTTCAAGGGCCAGACTGGATTTTGGTTGTGGGGTGGGAAGGGGATGGTATTACTTGCTAACAACGCAAATACTCATGACTAGATTCCCTCCTAGAACCAAAAGGAGTATCACAGACACGTCGCCTCCAACGTAGATGCTGTCCCAACCCACGGGAAAGCCTTTGGTAAAGTGAGGGCAGCCGGGGAGCAGGGGGCATTCTGAAAGGTGGGCGATGCTGCCTAACGCGTCAAGTCAGCCCCCTTACAAGGGAACAGCTGTCCGAAGGGGCAGGTATGAGGCGAACAGTGAGGCCAGGGTTGAGAGTCCCAGTGGCCCCAACGAGGAGAGCCCATCAGCAGTTTCAGAAATTCCTGGATCCAGCGAGTGACAGGAGCAGGGCTCCTCCTCTGAGACTGGAAGTACAAAGCCTGACCACAGTTCCCAGAAGCCCTCTGCCTCGGCGACATCAGACAAGCCTCAGTGCACGTGTCCAGGCAGTTGTTCTCAACGCTATTTGGTT